GGCCTGTAGATTGTGTTTCGCCATGGTCAATACTTTTAGTTAGTTCTCACCTCAAAGTTCTTGCCTTGGCTTTGCTAGATGATGGGCTGTAACCTATAAGCCAATTTAACCCTTTCTTCCCACTGGTCCTGTAACCCACCTGCTGGCGTCAGCAGCTGCTTATAAAATGATCACTCAGAGGATTAATGTTAATTACAAACTGTTTGGCCTATTAGCTCAAGCTTATTATTAACTAGCTCTTACAACTTAAATTAACCCATTTTCATTATTGTATATTTTATCCAACCTGGCTCTATTCTTCTACCTGGCTATTGGCTGAATCAGCTTCTTTATTAACCAATGGCAATTAAACATATTCACAGCACACAGAAGGGCATTGCACATCTTTTCTCTTTTTCTGTCTAATCAAAAAGGAAGGTTTTAACTTTAACATAGTAAAATTACATGTAACAAAACTGACATCAATCAAGAATTACAGTTATAATATTTAGTCTAATTGTATTTGTCAAAATTAAAGAAAACAATTATTTTATCTTGGTGACTCTCAAATGTTGTGTCTAATTACTTTCTATTATGACTAAGGAAAACTATAATTATAACTATCTAGTCTTCAACTCCATCAAAGGCCTTAGAAGGATATAATATTACTTGAGTAAGCAGGGTGTGCATTGCGAGCAACTTTCAAAAGATACGTCTGGCTGCCTGGACAGCCACCCAGAGTTCCTCTGTGACATTGGGCATCCATCTTCAGCCTACAGGCCCAGAGTATCTGACAGACTTTTTAGTGAAGCAGGAAATTTGAAACTGTCCTGCTCATTTTGGCGGTTTGTCAGTCATACGCCACTAACATAAGCTCCGGTCTGCCCTGGCTTCGTCACCACTAACCGCTTAGGTAAGCTCCGGTGGGTGCCAGGTTTCGTGAGCCCCCTTTCCCAAGCAGCTGTTAACTGTCGATGTAATCTTGGTGAAAGACATTGCCCCTGAGCTTTTATCTCCTTCAGTGAGGGAAGATTTAATGGAACCAGTCTTATGGGACTCCCATTGGCTACATAGGTAAGATCACACTCGGGAATACATGTTTTTCATGCTGTTATACCAGCGCCAGTTAGGTTTTCTATTACTTGTACTTGACATTTTCATACTGGTAGAGTATCCTACGTGTACAAGGTAATTACTCCTATTAAAGATGCTCAAGGTCCCCCACCCCATTTTGAAATGTTTTCGTATGTAATGAGATAGCTTGGTTATGGAACCCACATCCAAACTCAAATTTTGTATGTTGTATATACACCTTATATACATGGGCGGAAGGTGATTTTATGCAGTGTTTTTAGTGCACTGTGTGAGGTCAGCTGTAAAACCTACCACCTGTTGGAGCGGGTCAGCACTTGAAGCTGGGGTTTCTGAGGATTCACAGTTTAGATGAGATGTCCTCTGAATGGCTAGCTAGTATGCTGTGTGATTTTTTTTTTTTTTAAACAATCAGTGCATTGTTTTTCCTATGATCCACGTGGCTTTATTTAGTCTTCAACCCTTAGCAGATGGACAGATGGACAAATCCAAGCTCTTTTCATTTCATTTGACGTTATTGTTTTTGAATTGGTTTATCTTGTTAACATTTCAGTTGGTGAGAATAATGTCCCTATGTGTTAGGGAGTTGGCAAGTCATTAGAAGGATGCTTTCGGATATCAGTTATAGAGGGAAGTAATTTTAAAAATAAAATAAAGTCCTGTATCTTAACACTACACTAGTTTCCCAAGTTTTTAGTAAATTACAAGAATGATGTATGCAAACTAATTTCAAATATTTAGTATTTATGGCTTATGTTCAGTTAAGCTGTAACCTATAAAGCGTTGGGAAAATGGTTTGTCTTTTGTGGTATCAGAGTCCCTTTTCATCCCTGGCTGCTGTTACAGTGCAGGATCTTGTCATATTGTGATCTGTGTTCCTCTCTAGATGAGTGGTTCTAGACCCCCACAGGTTTTACATATCTGCTATCCTGCATATCAGCTATTTACATTACGATTCATTGCAGCCACACAATCAGTTATGACGTCGCATTATAAATAATGTTATGGCTGGGGTCACCACAGCATGAGGAACTGCATTAAAGGGTCAAAGCATTAGGAAGGTTGAGGCCACCGCTCTACATGATATTGCTGGATGCTACATTTTTGTTTTAGGGGTGCTGTAAAATATGATCACTTTATAAAGGTCATGCTTAACCTATTGCAGTATCCCTCGCTAAATGTCTGAGTCTTCACCTCATCTCTAGTTTGCATGCTTCTTTTTTATTATTTCTGTTACTACATTCATTACGTGGATGTGTTGGACCCCTGAGAACTCTGGTACGATTATCAGACCACATAGTTTTTCTTTTCTCTTTCCATGCCTTGCCCACCCTTCCCTTCCCCGACCCCTTTCCTGGTTCTTTCTTCCCTCTTCTCTTGAAAGCACAAGTATCTGGTCTCCTCAGTTTCCATCCCAGAGTCCATTTTATGTAGAAAGAAATCCCAAAGAATGCACCCAAAACTGAGTAGCAATGAAAAATAAATAAAGGACACAGGCATTGGATGCTACCCATTAAAACCTTTGGTTTAATGATAAGTAAAAGCTAACTTAAAAACATAAACCAATAGATTTCAATGACTTAATGCAATCAGAGTTTACTTCTCTTCATGCAGAACTGGAATGGGTGTGAGCTGTATGGAGATTATTGTCCCATGATGCTTCCCAGGGTATTTGGGAAGTGTAAATTTGGTTATTCCTCATGTCTCCAGGATGGGTCACCAAAGGCTAATGTATCACTATCAATCTGACTGCTTCCCAACTCAAATTCTATGGGGATTGTTGGGTAAAAGTCTGGAAGAAGAATTTTGTATTCTTCCTCCAAAGAAAATGATTACAAAGGCTTCATGTTTATGTTGTCCTTAATTATTAGAAGTGATTCTCTTTATTGGAGTCAAGAAACTTAATTAAATGAGAAGGAATTTTAAATCTTCTAGGAGAAATCTGACACGTTCCTCGCTAGTAATTCTAATCATGCACCTGTTGTGGCATAAATACTTTACTGAACAACAAATGAAATACACGGCATTGTTCAAATTATGTTTAATACGAATGGCTTTCTGTATGTAAGCTGTCATCTACTACTGTAATTGCTCTTAAGGAAAGGAATAACAAAAATAGGGTCAGAGTGAATGTGAAGAGTGCCTGCTTTTACATTTAACTGAAATAAAAATATCAGAGGAAAAACTTTTACTTTAATACTTGTGAAGCATCAGAAACCCAGTAACAGTCTTCATGTCTCACCGCCTCACCTTTAAATAACCACGGGGCGTTCACTTTTTGGCGACAACAGAGTTTTTGGGGAACAGAGCAATGCAGGCTTGGTATTTGTAGGTGTTGTTCGTGTCCATGGTTAAAAATCAGAGTGTTCTCAATGGGGTCATTGGAATGGCAAGCTTGTATCTTTTGTGCTAGAAAATGTAAGGACATAATGATCTCACTGAAACTAACATGGACCCTCGGACCCTAAATAACCTCAGACCAAGTTTAAACATTACTAACCGACAGTAGCGTGAGAAGGCAGTTTATATGGAAATATCCGAGATCCATGTAGAGCGTCTCAACTTTGACAGCCTTGGCAGTCTGTGCATATAAAACCTTGTCTCCATGTGCGTGTGCGTGCCTGTGCGTGTGAGCGTATGTGTGTATGCATGCGAGCATATGTGCATGTTGTATATTTTAAGTGGTTAAGCAACATCCTACAATGCCAATCAAATGATGACAATAAAAATGCCCCTAGACACTTAGAAATGTCTCCTTGAGTCTAAAACACACCTGGTTGGGAACTGCTCAGCCAGAGGGTGCCAGGGAGGCCTTTTCTGATATATAAGATGTTTCAGAATGCAACACAGCGATTCGGATTTACTCAGAACAGAACTGGTATTAGGTGATCAGAATAAGTACATCTCCATAGTTTTAGTTATCTAAGAGTGGGAAGCATTGACTGGTGAGCGTCTAATTAGGTAAATCGCAGACTTAGTCACTCCCCCAGTTCAGCAGGGAATTTCTTCTCTATGCAGGATTTTGAACTAAATAATCTCTTAAATCCCTTTTAATGATAATATGCTGCAATTCTGGCAGTACTAAACATGCAGATTTGCAACATTAATCTCCTGTGTCTGTCTCCCGAACCACTCCCCATCTCTGTCACTGCTGTGGTTAAGCAAGGGGCCATACTGTAATTAGGGAAAACGTCTTCTCACCCAGCTATTTGCCCAACCCGAAAAGCTGTCTTTGAGAAAAAGAGAAGTACATTCCTTAAGCATGTATTAGTTTTTAAAAATATCTACTTTTCAACTTTATTTTGTGTGTGGGGGGGCGAGGCTTGTATGTCGCAGTCACATGTGACATCAGGGGACCTCTCTATAGAGTTGGTTTTCCTCTTCTATCATGAGGGTTCCCGAGGTCAAACTCGGGCCGTGAGGGCTGTGAGGAAGCACCTTAACCAGCAGAGCCATCTTGGAAGCCCTTTACACTCAATTTTAAGGGATGTCCATCATTTAAAGGAGCAACCTAGAGTGTCACCAGCATTTGTTTATCTTACAGTGGGTAAAAAAGGATGAAAGGAAACAAAATTACGTAGGAGATTCCAGAGAATGAAAAGTTCCCATCATCATCAGTGAGAAATGAGTCTGTTGATAGGATTAAAAACATTCAGTTAAATTATAGTCAAAGTCCCATTGGAACAGTTGGCGGAATGTGTCCTGTGCATTATATACATACTAATCATTATTTTCCTGAGTGATTTTATTGGTTTATAAACCAGGGGAAAAAATAGTTCACAAAGAAACCAGTGAGTTGATTATGAAGAAGTCCTTTTGAAATATTTATCATGACAAGTTCTCTGTATTTTAATTTACCGTATGTTACTTTCCTTACTGCATATTTCAAGTGTATTTTGAACACAATTATCTGTGCTTTTATTTTCTAGTTGTTTTTTATCCTTGCTGCTGGTGGCTGCTGTGGTTTGGAAGATCAAACAGACTTGCTGGGCTTCTCGACGGAGAGAGGTAGCACTCATATTATCTAACCTCTTGTGAGGGTGTGAGCTGTCCTGGCACTCTGATAACTCATGCATATGCTCTTTCAAGTACAGACTTGTCAAATCAATTTTACACATTAGCATTGAGAAGCTTTCTATCTTTAAATCTTCACAGTTGAGCTGGGTGATGATGCTCACACCTTTAATCCCAGCACTCAGGAGACTGATCTCTGTGAGTTCAAGGCCAGCCTGGGTCTACAGAGAGAGGTCCAAGACATTAAGGGCTATACAGAGAAATTCTGTCTCAAAACACAAACAAAAGAAAACAAAACCACCAAACAAAAACAAACCAAAAATTCAGAGTTGACAACCACAATATTTTCAAGACATCATATATATATATACATATATATGTATGTATGTATGTATGTATATGTTAGTTGTAGTTTTTGACAGTATTAAAATTCATAGTAAATACTGATATTATATTGTTAAGTAATCAGTAATATCTTTCCTTTGACATCTAGTTATGGTGTAGGAGTGTTGTTTTATCATGGTGCTTTTGTAATGAAGACAGCTCTATGTGTATATTTTGCTTTCAGAGGATTCCTATTTCAGAGCAATGTTTCTGTGGGGAAGAGTGATTCAGATATTTGCCATTTCTTAATCATCTGATTTCCCAGTTTTGTCTAAAAAGTCAGGTCAGTTTGATGCACTTCTGTGTCAGAATTAGTCATGATTATAATTCTAATATTGGTTAAAGAAGGGTTACACTTCCACAAAATATCATCTGATGATGTAAGCACATTAGAAAACATAGTTTATTATCTTCTGATATATTGGTTAGTGGAAAGCAACATAAAAGCATATTCAAATGATGAACAAAGTAGCCATATCCTTTGTTGTATAGCTTATACAATAAAATTCTTAGTTTCTATTTACTGATCTGTTACGTTCTTTTAATATTGTTCTAGTATTAGCATCATTGGTAAATTACTTGCTGTACATTTCCCAGCATTTTTATGTGCCCATGCAATGCAAATGCATGCATAAGAAAATGTTGAAAGCTAATTGAAACAATCTAGAATTTTGGAGTTATAGAATGAGTTTATATGGATCAAACTTATGTTTTCTATGTTTTTCACCACTCGGTGCCTGCTTTAAGGTACTTGGAACGTTGGGGTTCTCCCTTTCCGAGTTACTGCTCATCCTGGTCCCGTGTTCATCTGTGACTCAATGTATGTCCAGTCCATCATCAATGAGGTCAAAGGAGCTTAGTGACTACAGACACACGTGGAATTCTCTGGTCCAGCCAGATGGTGTAGGACAGAGTACACCGTAAATCATGATGGTGGATGGCAGGCGGTGGATGGGAAGGGCCCTGGTCATGGAATAGAGCTGGAAACAATGTGTTTCCCTAACCACTAGGAAACAAGTGGACCAGTGGCAGCTTCTGTCCTTCTGTTTTCTGGAGCAGTGTTTAGATATCTGTCCTCACAGTGGACACAGTTCAGCTTTGCTAAGGCAGCACCATGCGGAGATGCACAGTCCCCTCCTGCAGTGCTGCAGTGCTGTGCAGAGATGCAGTTCACCTCCTGCAGTGCTGTGCAGAGATGCAGTCCCCTCCTGCAGTGCTGTGCAGAGATGCAGTTCACCTCCTGCAGTACTGTGCAGAGATGCATAGTTCCTTACTGCAGCACCATGCAGAGAAGCAGTTCACCTCCTGCAGTGCTGTGCAGAGATGCACAGTCTCCCCATTGCAGCGCCGTGCAGAAGCAGAGATGCAGTCCACCTCCTGCAGTCCACCTGCTCCATGCAGAGATGCAGTCCCCCTCCTGCCGTGCCATGCAGAGATGCACAGTTCCTTACTGCTCCTTGAATCTGACCATGCGTAGGTGCTCTGTTGAATTTCCTTATTGCTATAAAGAGCTTTGTAGCTGGGTGGTGGTCGCACATACCTTTAATTCCAGCACTCAGGTGGCAGAGACAGGCAGATATAGAAGTTCGATGCCAGCCTGATCTACAGAGTGAGTGCCAGGACAGGCTGCAATGCTACCAGAGAAACCCTGTCTAAAAAAAAAAAAAAAAAAAATGGGGGGGGGGCATTGCATTGTGACATGTAACTAAGTTCAGTGTTGAATTTATATACGAGTCCTCACTTAAGTCAGCTTAATTAGGAATATAATTATTCACTACCTGAAATTAAAACATATGTTTACTTTGACAAAAGAAAGCTATTATTTACATATCTAATGTTTCCCCTTTAAATACGAGTGGACTTTGTTTAACATTGGCCACCTCAGAGTAGTGATGCTGTTTTGTTGTTTTCATCTTATAAGTGTTAATACATTTAGATTGTATGGTAAAGCCTTCCAAAATACCCGGTGGACGTGGGAGAATTAGCGAAAACCAGCGAGAGCTACCGTACTGTCGTTAGACACCACAGTCCCCGATAGCGTGTCATGGCCGTGGTTTCGCCCCAGACAGGGAGGTAGTCTTTTCTGTCCTGTATTTGATTTGCTCACCTCTGCCCAGACATACAGATCTGCTGTTGAGAGCCTGTTAGGCTGCAATGCATGCATGGTTCAAATATGTTGCAGATCTTTCTTCAGTTAAATTTTACTAAATACCTTTAACTGAAAGACATTAAATGTAGGAAAATGTCATATGTTAATGTGCACAGTAAACATGACATTATCTTGGTTGACTATCGGACACCAATTTAGACCATGATTTTTAGTTTATTTAAGAATTATTCCAAAGCTTGTTTCGTAAGGCCCAGAGATTCTGGCGACACTTGTTGGCTAGCGATGTTTTTAGGTAATAATGGGAAGGAGATTCCCTGTTTTTGTTTTCTGATCTCCACGTCTTCTCAAAGTAAGTGCGTGTGCTTGTGATGATCATTGCACTTTCAGTAAATATGCTGAGCAGAGGCGAGTCTTGTGTTGTGAATAAGACTGTTACATGCCCACCGTTTGAGACCCTCACTCATATTGTCTACATGGGGATGAGTCTCTGTCTCAGAGCTACAATCATTGCTATGATTCTCTGATGGAGAGAATGTTAGTTTATCTGCAATAATAATTTTTCCTTATAACTTTTGTGATTGTTTTATAAAGTTGTTCTTTTCCAAAAATGTAAGGACTATTTAAAATGAGAATGACTTGAAAAGTCATGTGTTGTATTTACCCCAAAGCATATTGCCTTTTATTCTTTAACACCTAGGTTTTTCTAAATCTTGATATAGCTATTATAAATATAATTTTAATATCAGACACCTAAGACGCAAATTCAAGGGCTCTTAAAATCTGTAAATACTTCAATTTCCATAGTACTCTTCAACTCAGTTTCTATAGTAACTTACCTTACACTTAATGTGAAGGCTTCCTCTTGGACAATGCTAATGAAGGGAAACAATACGTGGGTGTTGGTTAGCAGAAATGAACGCACTGGAAGGTGAACACGCTATCACTGCTTGCTCTTTTTTACACAGGTACTGGAAACATGTAGCTTCAAGGATACATTCTAGTTTGACTAGTCATCTACATCACCAAACTATTTGTTTACAGGGGATACGTGCTGAAGCATGGCTTGATTGACAAGTGCTGTTGTCAATTTCTCTGAATATCAGAGTTTGTGTACTTATTTTTTTAAAGCGTGGATAAGTGTCCAGCCTGGATGCATGTCTGTGTACCACACGAATGTGTCTACAGTCTAGAAAGGGTGTCTGATACTCCAGGACTGACGTCCCAGTTAGTTGAGCTGCCGTGTATTTCCTGGGCATCAAACCCAGGTCTGTGAAGAATAGCAACTTCTCCTTATGGAGTAATTTGAAAAGAGTTTGAGTTTGACACTGGAGTCATCACAATAGAAGTTGACTATGAAAGCTTCCAGTGTCCTGTATTAACTTCATCCATATTTTGTAATTGATGCCTAATCAAAGAATTTGCCCATCGTCCTATAGTTATAATTACCATTGCACTTGTAGAATTCTTTGTTGCCTGTTTAGCATGGAGCCATCTGTGAGCACGTATATCTCAGTGCAGACTTCATGGGTGCTTTGTTTCATAAATGTGAGTGTTTGGAGTCTATCCATCCGGTGCTATCGTAAGGGAAAATGCTTCTAGTATGATGATTTTAGCTAGACTTATTATGAATTGTTCGGGCCTAAGGTAATTTCATGCCAGGGTAAACTTTCCTTAATCCCTTATTTCATATTTAATATAGGATAAATTTGCCTTGTACCAATATCGAATTCCATAGTGCTGCGTTCCCAGTAACTCCGTTGCCTTAGCTGTGACGTGGCGTCAGTTAATACACTGAATGAATGATCCTGGCTTTGTGCACAAACTCCGTCACTAGCAGTGGTTCAAAAGGCTGTGATCAGAAGGACAGCGTGTGGTCCATTTCCTATCTCCCGTGCAGCACGCCCAAGTGCATGCTGCCTATATCCAGAAGATGCCTTCTGCAGTGCTGACTGTGCCATTCATTTCTTTTCTGATTCTTTGAGGTGCTTGTAACCCTAATTCGATTTAATGCCTTGCCATTTAATGCCATGGATTGCCCTTTAGTTTTATTTATGCCACACTGTATCAAGTGAATGCAGTATTAGCTTCACTCATAACTCTCGTTTTGGACACTAAACTGTTGCGTATTAATTATGTTAAGTGTGAAGCACTCTGCTGTGGTTCAGCCCCGCCTTTGCACATGGGCAGTGATCTGAGCTGGAGCATTTTTTCCACAGCCAGGTCTGAGGTGGGCAGTTTCTGCTTATTCAGAAACTGGGGAGGAGAACGCTCTTCTCCCCTTAGAGCCCCTTTTATAGACAGAGTTTCCCATTTCCTTGGCAAATTGGTATCATGAAGTTTTATTCTAGCAATAGGAGAGACTGTTTAGAAGTAATTTTTCTTTTTATCAGAAGCAAACACAGGCAGTTTGCCTTCAGCACAGAGCATCATTCCAGTGATGGACGGTTTGTTATTACTCGGAGGATCTTTATTTGGCTAGCAGATGAGCTAACATAAATTT